CTCCACCATGATCTTCCTGTGCGCGGAAGCGCATACTTTCAAAATCCCCCAATAAAACCTCTGAAGAAAACCTTCGATTATTTACAGTTCGACTCGAGTCAACATTCGTACGATTACAATAGACTTGTTTAACATTGACAATTGATCTGTCAGCGAGTGTTATGAAAATCTGACTCACCGACGAGTCTTTTGTAACAGGTGTCGAACGGGGAGCACAGTGTTTGGCTCGGTTCAACAGGTAAGAGGGCTCACAGGCAACGGAGCGTTTCGCAGGTGAAGCCCGCAGCTGCGAAATCGAACAGAGAGGGGCAGAAAAGAAATCGCTTTATTTGACACGCTGTCTTTCCGTCAGCCTTATTCGGCTCGTTTCGACGAATTGTTTCAACCTTCGAGTACCTCGAAATCGCGTAAATATCGGCCGAGCAAAACTACCGAGTACGCCGAAGAACGCATTAAACAGAGGAAATTTATGATGTCGAAGGGCCAATCGAATTTCGATTTGACGCCGTTAAATTATTTCCTTTGCGGCCACGTGAAAGGTAAACCCGCAAACCTTATTCACCAGATCAAACCACAATTATGTGCAAATGTTATCGGAAATTTTGACCGAGAAAAAGCGATTTGCCGAGCGGACAATCGCGATGCCCGTTTGATCGATATTGTTTTTCCATCTGTAATTCTGATCGTGGGATCAATGCGTGAGCAATTTCGCTAACTTCCAGATCAATTATCCTTTGGATAATTTGTACCGTGTAGCTTTAGGAAGTCAAGACGGAGCGATTTTTCCGCGCTTTCTATCCAAGGAAGGAAAGGTCAGCGTACCGTCGCGTCGCGTCGCGGCGCACCGCGTCCACGCTGATACAACGTAGAACACACATGGCGCGTGATGCGTGGCAGACGTAAGTGGAGGAGCCAGCCCATGCTCGATGGATAGGAGGGCCAGGTTGGAGGTGCATAAACACACATAGAAGTGGAAATGGCAGGATTGGTAAGAGAGCTGGCAGAGCGAGCGAGTTGGCCGGAGACACGGCTGGCCGCCTGTGGCTTCGCTCTGCCGCTTTTCCTCTCTCCTTCCCTTGCTATCCCAACCTTCCCTTTTTCAGATTCTACCGCGTTGCAACCCTTCTTCGTGCTGATGCCTTCTACCGCTGCCCGTTTGCCGCAGCTGCCTGTCTACTGGATGATCGCGAAGCGCGGCGTCGCGCAAGAAAAGCGGCCAAGTATGCCTCTTTCTACGATGCATATGGACGCACAATTAGGGAATTTCCAACGACCCGTTAGTTAAGATGAGCATAAATCAACGCTCTGTCCGCGGCAGATGCAACTGTCGCGGTCCGTTATTCGCCGCGAATCTTTTCATCGTGCTACACGATCGTTTTATAGCGAGCATCTGTTGTAGAGTCGTAAAAACGAGTGACGAAAAAATGTACAACGCAAATGTTGAATTATCTAAAGTTTGCACAAGTCTTAGCGAGTATGCCGGAGATTTACAAGTGGTGCTCTTTTGACGGAAGGAACAGATTGGCAGGTATACATACGGGGTGTCCCAGAAAGAGTGTTAATCCTTTAAGGGGGTGGTAGATGGGGTGATTCTGAACGACATTTTCCTTTGTGAAAATGTTGTTTGAGGCTTCGTTTTTGAATTATTAAGGAAAAACACTGGGCCAATCAGAGCGCGCATAGCGCGCGGGGCTCAGGGACGGCAGCCTCGACTACGAAAACTGGGCTTGACCTGAGTCCCAAGCGAACAACTCGGCACCCCGCTAGTGTAGCAGGAGATGTTGGAAAAATAAATAAATTGAACTGATTAAACATTTTTAATCGTTGCTTAAAATGAATACAGAACCTACTTTCGAATCACCCGGTGAATGATTTAACCGAGCTTGCGAGGTAAGTGCCGAACAAGTCAGGAACAGCGCAGCTCACAATCAGTGTTGCGGAGTGCCGCTGTTAGCGCATCGCACTATGACTAATTACGAGCTCGAGTCACCCCACTGTCGGACGATACGGCCCTATAAACGCCACCACCACCATCACTATCGCTAGCAGTCATTGTTCCTTTCCACGTCTTTGCCTGTTTCTTCCTCTGATCGACCGACCGACCGACCGACCGACCAGCAGTCTTTTTTCCCGCGCTAGTTCTTCGCTTCTATCTGTTGGGTTGCGCGCGTAGCCACACTCAATAGTTCGTGCTTCGAACACGCTTTTCTTAACCACTCTCCTCGCTACAGGCTGAATTTTTTTTTTTTTACGTTTTATATACCATGGTCAGTTCCCTTCTCGGAATATCGAGCCAGCAATTTTACAAAATGTACGCCGGTCGGAATCCCCCCCCCCCCCCCGATCGTTAGCGTGGACGAGCACGCGCGATCCTATCTTTGCGATATGCCGCCAAGAGACTGGGAATTTACAATTGTAAGGAGGAATATTAGGCTAATCGTAGAGCGCGTTTCGTTGGTCGGAGCCGATTCGAACGGACGATACCAGGCCCGTTCTCTCGGTGCAGCTCAGCAACCGTAAGCGGAAAACTCAGCTCCCTCGGTAAATGGATTCTTCCGAGTAATCTATAGCACGGGATCGAGGTGCTCGTGGCTTCTCGCCTTCGTAATTTAGGAGGAAACGATTTACTGTTTCCGGTAATGGGCAGCAGCAAACCGTGTCCGTGTAAGAGTCACGCTCGGCGACGAAGAGGCGGCCGATTAACAAAAAGCGCGTTTGTTAGAGTATAGCGAACAAACGCGACGCGACGCGACGGCTAATTTGGACGGTGGGTACCGTTACGACCCGCATATAGCCGAGCTGAAAAGTCAAACAGGAAGGATTAATGATATATTGTTGATGCTTAAATACACCGCTAATTGTTGTGTCTACGCTACATGATAATAGTTGGCGCATTATTATAATTACTAATTAGACGAAGATCAAAGAAAAAAAGAAGGAAGGTGTCGCGCGGTCGTTAACACCTGTACTTGTATTTATATTGCTACAACTAGAAAGGAGAATAGAACGAATTTTTCTAAGCTAAGGTCTCTAGTTGTACGGGGAAGCAAGTTCGCACGTATTTACGGGTTTATGCTATTGTTTCGAGCGGCACTGTCGGTATCTTTCCACGAATAGACGATTTTACGGTAGGAGGGCTCGGAGTGCGAACGACGCGGAAGGTAGGAGAACATCCTGTGTCGTAGGACCCCCCTTCACGCTCTGCTGGCTTTACTTCGTAACGCTGATTTCCTAAGTATTCTTTCCCTTCCACGGTATACTGATTGTCAGTCAACTCGAAGAAGGAAGACGAAACGAGACGAGACGAGACGGTCTCTCCTACCTGAGAATCGAGATGCTCTTAATTAAAGCACTTCAGTCACCGGATTCCGGCGAGAGAACACGTTTTCTCACGTTTCAGTTCGCCCTTTTTCATCGATTGTTCATCCAGAAAGGATAATGGGATGTTGCGAAATAAGCGGCGACCATTTGTCTTCGAACCAACCAACACATCTTTTTTCAACGCTTCCTAACACTTTTTATATGACTACAATCTTTGTGTGTACATTTTTTCTTTTTAATTCAACAATGTTACAACATTTTTATTGATCGCGCTAGAAATTTAGAATTAATTGGTGGATATAGCCGTTTCCGCTTTATACGCTTTATTTACAGGATTTCATTTGTTTGCGCTTCAAATTACGGTAAATTACCAGTAGTTTGGTGCTAAAAATCAGCTTCTCGATTATGCCGATAAGAAGAGCAAATAATACTCAGATAATTGTTTGACAAAGCTGTATTTTAAAAAGACCGCCATAAATACCTTTAAAACTCGATTTCTGCGCCATCTATGCAAAAATGGTGGAAACTACTCGACAAGTTACAGACTCGAAAAAGAACACAATCGCCATCTATCAGGAAACCGGTGAAACTAGTCGACGAACGGGCTCCTCGACTTACCGATAGGTGGCGCTAGTGTCCCCTGTGTTATGGGGGCTTATCCCACATTTAAATTGAATGAATTGCGTTTAAATTGTAATAATATATTTGAAATTGTTAATATAATGATATACACGTCCTTTGAGTTTAAAGGCTTTTGGAAGAATGAACATTCATAAAATTAATTCCAATTTGTTTTTAAATGTAACAAATGAATAATAAACATAGTTCAACAAAGGTGGCGGTGAGAATAATCTTGACTAATCTTCCTTATCGACATCGGCCGCCACAGTGTTGTGGGGTGATGGTAATGCACGGGTTGGGTGGTCGGTATGATTCCCACTGTCTCACAGTTGCGGCTACGAAAAAATTCGACGTTTTCTTACGCCCTCTAGAATATATTGCGGCCGCAGTAACAAACAAAACCTGAATCAGTGAGTTTACAAACGACGAGTGTCGGTGTTGAACTGTATCATGAGATATGAGTTGATATATTATCTGGTCGATGCTATTATTATCTCTTCGGTGATTCGAGTTAAATTCGTTTTACAAACCTTTCGGAGATACTTTTTAAGACGTCAAATATTTTAAAGTAGGTAACTTAATAACCCTTTTTAGTTCATTGGAAATTATTTTTTTAATAAATGACGAACTCTAGTTCTAAGTGTAAAGTATGTGTTTTTAAGGTAAATAAATATTCATTTAAAAAAAATGGTGGGTCATGATGGGGTATGTGCGGGCAATGACACACTCAGAATTTATTCTTGGAGGGAGCTAAGTTGAACGAATAAAAATATTTTTAATACAAAAAACAGTGTTATTAATATGTTACATAAACAGTAACACTAATTTAATTAGGAACAGATTTTGGAAAATTTTCTGTTGTTCTCCTTCCTTTTTCTTTGGGGAATGCTAGAGCCCCTTAGCCCCTCCCCCCGAGTGCGCCAGTGTCAGCGCGGGGTATGCAAGGACGCGATCTTTCAAACGTTTGGGACGTTCAACTCTGTTCACCACATGGCAGAATAAGGGAATGCACTAAGGCTTAGTATGTCATTCTCTGTTAAAAATGCCTATTTCGCTACCTGTGAAAAACGGAAAAATGCCCACCTGTTAACAGTCTGCTAAGAGACGAGTCTCTGTTAACAATTAAATGATATTTTTGGTTTAAGAATCATTATTTTATAAATATAACAGTAATTTTCGAATTATTTTTTATTCAATTCTTCTATTTTTCTCAGAATGTTACGTACCAAATATTCTTATTTTTCATATATTTATGTAGTATCGATTATTACAATAATTGTATTATTGTATTACAATAAGAATGTAATCCAATTATAAGGTAAAATATAATTGTTTTCCAAGCAGCACAGGCGAGATAATTATTGTACTGTAACAAACCTAATTTGTGGAGCATTTAGACGCGTGTTCTACGAGTGTGAAGACAGCTGGCGCCAAACCTCCTTCCGAACCGTCGACGTGACTGGGCCTACGTGGTCAGGATCTACCGGTGTCTCTCAGCAGATAGCCAAATCCATTTTCGTCTTGGGCTCCTTGCACCCTAAAATTGGTCCATAACATTTGTTCAAGTTCTTACGATCATTTTTACATACCTGTTCGCAGCATTCACAGAGCCTTCCCGAAGGAAGTCGACGACAGGGTCTTGGGCAGGGGTTCTTGAATACAGAATCGTGGACTTTGTCGGGTAGAGGCTGATGCTGGAGATTCTCCGCGTGAAGTCTCTTCGCCCGAGCGAATTGATGCTGCTCGGGTAATGGAAGATTTTTCTCCATTTCTCTTCTACTAAAAAATTCCGGTACATATTTTCTCAAAGAGGACACTTTTATGTTTCCAGAAACATAATTTGGTTGACAACATTCGTGAAACTCCTTGGTTTTCTGAGCGACCAGCTTTTCTGGGCAGTGAGAGCAACACTTCTGAATCTTCAATTCCACCTCTCTTCGTGTTCAGTTTGATGATGTGGACGAAGGTTCAAAAGTTTAGAAAATGGATTTGCCTGAACGCCACTACAGGAATGCCTTGGTTCCTAAATCAAAGTCGTTGTTTGCTTGACAATGAAACAGTTCCATAATGTGTTTCTACATAGCTATACAAAGATAGAATTGTCCCAAATAATTTCAGCTTTTCTATTGGATAATGATGAGCATTCAATATTCTATCTCTTGTAAAATCAATTCATAAATATCAGAGAACGCTTTGATTCTTTTTCCTGTAATTTAATCGTTTTGAATATTTAAAAAAATGCTAATTTAAAACATAAGTACGGTAGTTTTATTATCAGAGGGTACTAAATGAAACGAACAAATTTCAAGGAATCTGCGAAGGAGGAAAGTTTCTGCTGCAGCTAGCGATTCTCCGTATCGTTACACAATACAATGATGAATACATTTGTGTATCTATAACGGAATTGCTAAGCGTGTTTTGAATGGGAAATCACCGTTGCGTCGCTGGGAAAATACACTGACAATGAATCTCTTTAATAACGCTTTACCCAGGATTACAAATTTGATCCGTTTCAGTTTCCTTTCGAGTACAATAAATACAGTATTCTTTAGGGGAAACGTGCTAATGCAAAGACTTAATCTTGGAATTCGTCCACGAGCTTCAACAAACAATATATAATTGCCGTTCTCTGAAATCAAGAAAGTATTCATTAACATGAACTTCTTTGTATTTTATTATTAAAAAGTGAATATTTATTATGAAGTTATATAAAAAGGCTTCAAAAGCTTATCTTCATTTTTTACTGAAATCATCCACACTACTTTGTTTTATTAATTTAATGTTAACTGTTGCATATTATTTATAGAATCATATAAAAGATGTTGCAAGACTCCGTTGGATCAATGCCATATCCCTTCTACTGGTTTTAAAGCCTTGACAGAAAGCACGTCTTGAAACTTGCTCTGGGTACAAGCACATGGCAGTAGCACGCAACTCGCGGACTCTAATTGTTTTCTCTTTGATTCTACATCACCTGTACGTTGTACAACAAAGAAACAATGAATCGTGCGTGATAAACGTTTCATAGAACAAAGAAGAATCTGAAGTGAAATTTATATTTCCACTAAACTATTAATTTCTACTATCTGAATGCTTTTCTGCATAAAATATTTTTGAATAGCTGCAAAACAGTATAAGCATAGCTGAAACCACATAAAAGAACAGAGTGTTGCCAGTCGCTTGATTAAGGCCAACAGAGCCCCTAACACGAGCGTATACAGCAACGTGGAAATCCAGTATTCTGAAGAATTCGTGACGTTTTCATGACATCACGAGAACGGTCATGAATCAGCTAGTTCCGATTTAATGAATGAGAGCTCGCATTCTATCGATCTGCATGCTGGCAAGCAGATCGGTTTCAGTTAAACTCGCCGACAGTTCAAAGCGAGTACGTAAGCTCGTTGTTTAAAAGAAAGGCGAAGTATACATGCTGCAAACAACGCGTGTATCGCGTTAGCATTCAAGAAGAGTAGATAATCCAAATCGCAAACTTTGATTCTTGTAATCGTGTTTGACTTTTTTATTTATTTTTCTTCGTCGCATCGCAAGGGAAACCCGGATCAAGCCAAACAGAAGAAAGCTGTTTTGTTCAACAACATCTACCGCAAGAAACCATGCTGAATCTTCCTGTAAAACATTAAAAACATATGGATACTAGTTGAATGTGCAATAAACTGTGAATTAATGAACAATGACTGAACCAAAAGATAAAGATAAGAACGATGAAATTATCTTCATGGACGAGGTGGTTGATGAAGTAACAGAACCTCTGACCTCCGACAACTTGGAAGCTACCACTAACATCAGACCACGCTATGGTTCTATGTTAGAGACAGACAACACAAACAATCCACGGCCAACTTCCGGACCTGAGATCGACGACCTTGAACCGGACGATAGACCGTCGATAGGGTTTGATCATCCAGGCGTAGATGATGGCCTTTTGCCAAATGATCTACGACCACCGGAGATTCCAATTTCAGGCGGCAGAAATCCATTTTTTCCGCTGCCACCTGTTTCAACGATACCTGACGTGAATCTCTATCAGCATAAGAAAACACTTGCCCAAGGGATGATGGATTTGGCTCTCCTGTCGGCCAATGCGAATCAATTGCGCTATGTTCTGCAAACTGACGGCGGGCACCCATATTATTATCCATCCCTAGTTATGATAGCAGCCAGCTTGTTACTGCAGATTGCTGTGGGTATAGGACTGATTTGGAACAGCAGGTATAATGTGAAGAACGACACTGAAATGTGCAAAGCTGCAAGAGCCAACAATTACACTGTAATTGGTATATTTCTGGTGACAATTTTGAATGTTTTCATCTCATCATTTGGTGTTATTGATCAAGTGACTGTTGCAACTACATGATCTAAGGACTGCTAGTGAAAGTATGTTATAAGATAATAAGTGATTTATATTTTTTTATTTTTTTATACAAATCAAACTTGAATGGAAGAAGGTATTGATTTCAAAATATCTTTTAATTCCTTAGACAGTTCTTCCTTTCTCTTAGACAGATCTTCCATATCTTTGTTTACTTCAGCAGAAATTTCTGTTAACCAATTTTCCATTTCTTTATTACCGTCTTGAACTTTTAATAAACGTGATACACATGTAGAAGGAGAAGTTTGAGAAGCCTCAGATTCATTTTTGGAAGATGAGCTTTCAAATCTTTCCTGTGTTATATAATGTAATAAAGAAATGAATTTTGAAATTTCATTCCAATTAATGTCATCTAAACTGGAACTTAGAGATTTATTGTGTTCTTCAACTACGGTCACCTGCAATTTTTATTATCATCGCTTAATTATTTTTTGCAATATGATTAGTTTTTGATATGTAAGAATAAAATCACACTTTTATTATTTACCATCCATTCAAAAAACATGTGTTCTTTCTTTAACCATTTCATGTGTGTATCTAACAAACCACCAATAATGTTTAAATTCTTTAAATATCTTTTATCCTCATTAGAAGGTGCCTTCTTATTAATTGTTGATATACGTTTTATTAATGCTAATTCTGATACACTGAGATGTGGTAAACCACTGACATTAATACTTGCAGCATGAGCTTTGCTTATTAGCTTAGCTTTTTCAGAAATTAACTCAGATATCTCTTTTAGATTGTAATTTACTTTACCATTTAAGTATAATACATTATTTATTTGTGCAATCAATGACTCTGGTATATTGCACTCTGTTTCTTTTTTCTAAAACATAAATAATCTAGTACTTCTCATATTATAGTCTAATTTATTTTATGCTTGGCTAATTACTTTTGAGTTATTTGGATATGCACACTCTCTTCCCAGTACACTATTGGATAAATTTATTCTAATAATAACATTTAGAACATTTTGTGTTCCAAGAAGCCATGCGAATGCTAATAATAATTGTCTGTTATTTTTACTGTCTCTGTTTAAAGCATAAAACTCTATGGCTGGATACTGTAAATATGCAAAATACAATTTTGTTCCCCAAATAATACCTATATAAAAAGAAACTGAACTTGTGAACAAAGGCCATTATGAGAAACAATTTGGAATGAAGTATTAATGAAATTTACCATACTGGTGAAAATCAATTTCGATTTGCTTTTCTCTCACGGCATGATAACTTAAAGTATTTAATGTTTTCCAGAATTCCTCGGTCTAGAGAATAAAAAAAAGAACAAATCATCGAGTTAAAATTCGTCATTTTACGAATGTTTGCGTGCCAAACATTACGTAAAGGTTATACGATACTGCGCACGACACTCACGATATTTTCGGCTGTACCATTAAATTTTGTCAATCTAAAATATTCAGGTTTCATTACGACATTGATCGATGAATTTAAATGCTGACATAATAGTGATAAAACGCTTTTGATATCGGACATTTCTTCAGAATTTAAATGTAGCTATTGTAACATATGTAGTTATCTCGCGCGTGGTGATTTCAGCTGATTCAGTGCGCATTTTTTCTACCTAATTAAAATATTACAAAGTTCGATTTAGTCTCGAAACGAATTCAGTTTTGATAAAAAAGTACTTTCTTAGTAAATTGCTTGAAAACTTCTCCAATCATGTTGTATAATATAAACCTTTCAGTATAATTCTATACATTTTGCACTCACGGTGCACTAAATGCCTTTTATTGTTCTCCAAAATGGTATTGTTTGAATCACAGAACCGGTTAACTGCTACTTCGAGCTTTTCAAAAATAAAGAAAACTTGCTACATAGTATTAACAAGTGGCAGTGACTATTTATAGGCTGTTAGCAATGAATACAGTTACCTGCCGATTTCCTTGTTGAGACGCACAACCGTAATTACGCTGGCGATAATCACTGCACTTTTATCCTCGCTCAGGTCAGAATGCAGCACTTCCTTCTTATACTGGGTGTCCCAGAACTCATTTTCACCCTGTGAAGGGGTGGTAGCTGGGGTGATTCTGAACAACTTTTTCCTTTGCGAAAAGGGAAAAGTTTTTGAATTATTAAGCAAAAACACTGACCAATCCGAGTGCTTATAGCGCGCGGGCTTAGGGTCGGCAGCGTCGGCTACGAAAGCGGGGCTTGACGTCGGACGCGAACGAACGGTCCCTGTTTATGAATCCATAGTCACCGACGAGATACTGTTAAAGACTGCCATCCCCTGTGTTAAAGTTCGGTACGCCAAGTGGGCCCAGTGGGCCTGGGGTACGATCGGTAAATAGGAATGATGGATAATGTAGAATAGTGATATTACCCATTTTACCGCCGAAAAAAACTTATACTACCACCAACGAGATGATTTAGACATCGACGAGATACTGTATCTCGTCGGTGTTTAGGTTTGTCACAGCACAATAATTATCTTGTCGGTGCTCACAGTTTCTGAAACCCCACCTGTTTGCGGATGGGAAAACCATCGCTATCTGTCGGTAAGTCGAGGAACCCGTTCGTCGACTAGTTTCCGCGGTTTCCCGATAGCTGGCGCTAGCGCCCCTGTTTTTGAAACTTAGTCCGTTTTTGACGAAATAAGCAAGTTTTGGGCATTTCCAAAGCCGCCAAATGATTTTGCGACCTCCAATACATAGGAAAAAATGTAAAGCATTAAATAAATAAAATCTTGAAAAATAAATAAACTACAAACAAATTCTTCAATTTACAATCGCTGGTTTAGATCGCCATTTTCTCTGGGGGGATGCTAAGCGTGCTCGAGGGTATAATACATTCTTATTTTGTGAATTGTATACAATAAAACTCTGAACTTTAGAGAACCTGATAGGGACTAAGTAGATATATGAGGAATTTCAATAATAGAAACATCTTTTTTTATATTATATTGTTAAATGGTTTTGACATCTAATTTCATACAACCCTATATGTACCGCAGTTCACCAGAGTCCATAACTGCGACGCGCAGGTTGGAAGATGGTGGGGGAACGCAGCGAGCTCTCTGCTAATCGCTTTCCACTTCGTTTGGGAGTATCGCCAATCAGGGCGAAGATGCGCACTAGAGATGCGCGAAGAACGAAAATTGGTCTTTTCGTAGTTATGGACTCTGGTGAACTGCGGTATACATTTTGACAAAAAACACATCAAATGTTTCATTGATAGGCCGAATCTCAAATAAATTTGATTGAAATAATGTCAGTGGATCATAATGAAAAGTATATCTTTGAGGCAGAATGGTACGACAAAATAGCTGCGATTTTAAAAAAGTTTTACCTTTATTATTATCCATATGACAATACAGTCGAATTGGTAGGTTATAGATACTTTATCATGTTTATAGTTCTATACATGAATGTTTTATTTAATATTGTACCTCTTAGTTCGATACAAAAGCTAGAAAAACATTTTTAAGAAGAACACAATGCGAGGGGATAGAAGCAAAGGATTTTTACGTAGGTGCTACCGTAACAATATTTTCACGAAATATAAGAATAACAGATTACGCGGATTGCGTTACAAGGACAAAATTGCAAACAAAAACTCAAAAGTTAGTCATTACTTTTTATTCTTTTAAAGAAATTTCAGTGAATCACGAGTTATTAATTTCAGAACATTTGCTATGTTGAAACCAAATGTTATTGATAAACTGGGAGAGATATTAAAACGTATAATTTCTTGCAATTTTCATATTGCAAACATTAAGATGATTAAGTTAACTAAAGAAGAGGCAACAGAAGTGTTCAAAGATCAAGTTAATACTAATATAGCGTGAGATATAAAGTAACATTTTGTACATCTTTAAATTTCCAATATAAAATTATGATTTTAAAACTCTTAATCAGGTATGTTGTAAATCATCTCAGTTCGGGTCCTATTGTGACTTTAGAATTATTAGGGGAAAATGCAGTTGCACGTTGGAAAGAAGTAATAGGGCCAGAGGATAGCGATGGAGCACGCTTAACGGCTCCCTCTTCTATCAGAGCATGTTATGGAAAAGATACAATTCACAATGCTGTACATGGTTCTGAAAATGAAGCAGCTGCAGCAAAAGTATGTATCACTGTTTCTATTGTTTATATCAAGACTGTGATATAATTTTCTTTTTCAGGAACTGCAATTTTTCTTTCCTGGTCCAAAAAGCACAGAAAAGGGACCACCTAATACAGCAACATTACAGAATTGTACTTGTTGTATCATTAAACCACACGCTGTTCAAGCTAAACTAACTGGTACATGGAAATATACTTTAATATAATATCAGCTACATTATCAGTTAACATTAACATAGTATGTTTATTAATACAGGAGATATCATTGATGATATTCAGAAGGCTGGTTATATCGTTTCGGCTATACAACAATTCTGTGTGAATCCATTTGATGCAGAGGAATTTTTAGAAGTTTACAAAGGAGTACTTCCTGATTACGCGGTATATTAAATAATTATATGTATACGTTCGTTTTCTGAATAGGGGTAGCAATTCTGTTTGTAGGCTATGGTAGGAGAACTGCAGTCAGGACCGTGCATCGTTATGGAAATAAAGCATCAAGATGAAAAGTACGATGTTCACGGAGAATTTAGGAAACTATGCGGCCCTATGGATCCGGTAAGTATCATAGACTTTTTCACTTTTTATCGTATTTATGTTACTATTTTTTATAGGATATTGCAAGACAAGTGAGACCAGATACTCTTCGCGCAAAGTATGGAAAAACCAAAGTACAAAATGCTATACACTGTTCTGATTTACCAGAAGATGGAATACTAGAGGTAAACTATCAATTCAAATGTAATTGTATATCTTAAGATTTATCACTGTTTATTGATTTTATTTAGGTGGAGTACTTTTTCAAAATTCTTGACAGCAATTGAATTTTAAGAGCATGTAATTTATACTACTTTTTTACAATAAAGAATGCTTAAACAGATGTCTTTGTTTTTCAATTATCCTTCTTCATTTAACTATACTTAATCACAATATTATAAAAGTTCGTCGACTTGCTTAGATTATGAAAAAGGTCGATCACTCGTTTATGAGTTTTTCTACATCTCGCGCTTGTTATTGCTTATGTACATAATTTTCACGCGTTCGTTTGAAATGATTACTACAGCCAGATAAGATTGTAGGCTCATCAATTAAGAGCGCTATAAATGAAACGATACGATTAATTCAATGAAAGCTTGAACTTGAGGTATGTGGTAGTGAAATTGTTGCTTAATTTATGCAGTGAAATTAATGATGACTAAATTATCACACGCAACCATTCATCATCTATTACCACCCTTCCAGAAGATTGTTGAAAGATTGCTGGCACTGAAAAAAAAGGAGACCAATTCTTCTCAATTTCTCAGTATATTTAAATTAGTCGATAAGATAAAAACGATACGGTTCATCGTTCTTAGGAAATAAACAGATGTACGTATCTCATTTAGAAAGAAATAAAGTAACTCTGCATCGTGGGTAAGTTTACACGGATGATTATTCGAAAGTACCGATAAGGTATAACTAAAATTCTCTAATTAGTTTACGTTCCTCTTAATGACTCATCGTGTTTAATTTTTGTAAATTAATATAGAAGGGAAGGTCTATGCTTGAGGTATCGAAGAAGAAGGATAAAATCATGCTATAACCTAATCCCGCGTAATCGGTTAGTATTAATGGGAAAGCATGAATTTCGAATTCGTTACACGGTATATTCAATAACGGCATAATGACGTGTGTCACGAATTGAAGATACCTGTTGCGATCAGAAGTTAAACATACTAATTGTAAGCACTAGGATGCAATGGGATCATTAACACGTTGAACGCCACAGTGAAATTGGGCATTTTTTATGGGACGTATTAAACCTCTAATTATTAAGAATAGTAATAATTAATTTTCAAATTTTCAAATCTCAAGCTTTCTATTTGCCATTTCACATTATTTGTACCATAGCAATATTAATACAACTCCCTACCCTATATCCCTAATGAACCTGTAATTCTTAATACAGTCGCTAATAATCTCTGTTGTTGATGCGACTATAAACTCTTAATTAAAAAAAAAAAAATACTACTTAAAATAATGTTTTTCTAATTTTTTTTTTTTATTATTATTCAGGCGTGTGTAAGTTGTGGGGCCGGTCACCGGTGACCCCCATGGCGTCCAACGTGTCAAAAAAAAAATTAAATAATCAACGTTGTCACTATACGAGGTTTTTCTTTCTGAGATTTAGAAAAAGAAGTTGAAAATGAGGTGATCGAATGTTGTTTAGCGAGAGAAATTGTTCCGAATTTTGGCACCTTAAAGTAGCTTAGAAAGCGTCCTCGATAGTGTATCGAGAATTGCAAAAGTAATCATGTAATGACCCTGTTTTTTGGAGGTGTGCAGTAGAGATTGAAAAAGCGAATTGAACAATCTCTAAATCTCTGAAAATCTTATGTAAATGCATCGGTGCATCGTAGAGTATCGACGGAAAGTTTAACGAAAGGATTGATCCTCGAGCTGCACCGATGTTCTCCATTAATATTCCCGGGAAAAAGGTTGGAAACCAGTTCCTAATCGAGCGCGTTAGTATCAATGAACAGAAGAATCGGTAGTACGTTCAGTTCACTCTCTTACTACTGGTGGAATTAATTCTGGACAGTTTGAATAAAAATATTCTTTATTCCATATTTATGCTAAATCGATACCGTAATATTTTCATTGTAATCTATAATGTTTATACTTAATATTTTCACACGATTTCGTTAGTAAATGTTTCAAAACATTACTTTAAAAAAATCTAAACTGTATTGCTATTTTTGTTTTTGGGCCTGGCAATACGAAAGGACAGGATAATTTTTTTCTACCTCTTTTGATATCTTGAAATTGTAATTTTTATTGTATATTAAAAGTATCGCTATAAATGCTCTTTTTACTGATTTTTTTATATAAGGGACGCCCTAAAATTAGAGAACAATTAGAATATAAAATATAAATGATTATATATTAAATAATTTGAATAAATGCGAAATTTAAGTAAAAATTTAAAACTGTCCAGAATTAATTCCACTAGTGTAGATCGGCGTACATTAGAATACGTGTATTTTCGAGCCGGTGCGATCGGGTCTGGCAGTAGTGCGCTCGACAGCGCGCGGTACGGACCCATTGGCAATCGGCACTGCATTTCGGGTCTTACGATCGAATTTCAACCAAGCATGTACAATCGAAATCGTTCGTTCAAACTGTCCGGTTAAATCTCTCCTTCGGTTACTATCCGATTTCCTTTTCGATCGAGGAAGTACCATAGATTTTGTGGACGATTCGTAATTCGTCGTACCGATTCTTCGGCCGGAAGCGAAGTTTTCCTTGCTCACAGGAGTAATTTTTCGTAT